GGGGAGAATGATGGGGTTAATCATGAACATGTGTATTGTGACTTCCTTTACTGACAACTCTTTCATCCACATTGCAGAAGTCAGCTGAGCACATTCCCCTTCAGTTAATCTCATTTAACCCTGTTTTCCCTTCTGTGTTTCTATCCTCTGCTCTCCAAATGCTGTCAGAATTGCTGGCAGTGACAGCACCTGGCAATGGGATTAATTGCTTATCTCAAGTATGAGGTAACAGTGTAGGCTGTTAATTACATTTATCAGGAGGGAAACTGGAGGGCCTGAGCTGCCCTAGGAAGGATGAGTGCAGAGATGTGGCACCTGGAGGTCCCAAGATCCTCTCTAGCAGCCAACCCCAATGTGAAGGCCAAGGAGTTTGGGTTTTCCTGCCTGCCTCCTACACTGCAGCCTTGCAAGGCAGGATTGAGTCTTCTTCCCTCCAGCACTATAATGCCCAGGCTGAAGATGCTATGGCTGAAGCGTAAGCAGATCTGAAAGGCAATGGGCAGCATTGCTCCTTTGGGTGGTCCAGAGGCCAGACTTCTGCTAAGGTGACAAACAGCATCATGTGAAGGCCTGGGGATAGGAACAAGCTGAGAATGGGCAACTTTTGCAGGTAAGACAAAGTGAGACCCATTTGCACGCAGAACTTAAACCAAGGGTCAAGGTGGGAGGGGCAGAAAGGAGGAGAATATGGGAAAAGTGACTGTTATTACAATGTCCACCTCATCTTGCAAGAAGGGCATGGTTGATGAAAGGAGAAAGGGGTAAATTCAGAGCTGGTTGGACAGAATAATCTTCTGCACTGGACAACATCAGAAATACCCTCACACACAGCATGAGCAGTAGAGACCTAGAAGTGCTGGTGGAGGGGGCTCTGTGGTCTGGGTCCAGCCTCCCACTTGCAGCAGGACTGCCACCAGCATTAGCTCAAGACAGCCCCAGTGTTTAGCTGACTCCTGCAAGGAAGGAGATGCACCACTGTGACCTGCACCATCCTTTGGAGAAGGAGCTTTTCCTGCTGCCCTCTCTGAACTTGTGGTCCTTGTCCTTCGATGCAGAGTCTGGCACTCTGAGAAGTGTTTGTGTCTATCTTTGCATCTGCCCCCAAACAGCTGCAGTTAGTTGCCCCCCTTACCCCAGGCAAGCCATCCCAGCTCTTCCCACCTCTCCTTGCATACCCTGTGTCCCAGGGCTGGCCATTTGGTGGCCCTGTACTGGACTCTTGTTCCTCATACTGCCCTTGAACTGGGCACCCACAGACTAGCTGCAGCAGCATTCCCAGTGCCTGGCAGGGGAAAACACCTCCCTGGAGGTGCTGGCCACGCTGCTCCTGGTGTGGCCCAGGACACTTGGCATGGGGTCAGTGCAGAGGGAGTCCCGTGGTGCGTGGCCAGGGGAGCCAGAGGCTTGGGTAGGGTTTGCGGTGTGATTTGGATGCCAGTGGGAGCAGGAGGGGAGGGCAAGAGGCAGGATGTGGCTGAGGAAACCAGCGGCAGGGATGCTGCCAGCGCCAGCCTGCCTGCCCCCTGCCTCCAGCCCCGAGGGAGAAGAGAGGCAGCTGGGAGATAAGGCTGGGGGTTTCAGGCTCTTGGCAGATCCCAACTGACAGAGCCAGGGCTGCCTGTTTTCCATCAGCCTTGCTTAAGTGGAAGGAGCCTTGCTGCCAGGAGGAACAAAAGCCAGGCAAAGGGGAGCCCTTCCGCAGAGCCATTAGCACAGACTGAAGGTGCCATTTCGGAAACCTTTATTGCAAGAGAGAGCCGTTTGCTCTGAGCTCTTTGCAGAGCTGGCCTGGGGTGGGCTCTGAAGGCCAGGGCAGGTTTTGATGCAGAGGAGATTGGAGCCTGCTCAGCTCACACTGGATTACGTTGGCTGGAGAAAGGCAGGGAACCCCTCTGTGGCCCCTCTTGCACACTGCATCAAAGGCTTTTCCTTCAGACTGAGCTACAGGATGCCTTTCTCCACCAAGCTGCCATGGGGTAGGCAGTGCTGTTGGAAGGGCTGTAAGCCTCGTGCTGGCACTGCCTCCAGCAGCAGATGCTGTGGAAGTGGCCTTCCCTTCCAGATCCGTGGTGTGGTCCTCCTGCAGGGGAAGGCAGGACCATTCATGGGTTCCTGTGCATGGCATTCCCTTCCCAAAGCATGTGCATTGCCAGGCATGACCACCCTTCTGTGCCCTGGGAATGGGTGAGTGGGAAATGGGGACACCTGGTGCTGGTGAGGTGTTTGAGAGAGCTACCAGTGCTCTTAACAAACCCGCTGCTGTCTCGAAGCTGTGCTCTGGTGAGGCAGCCATCCATGCCTGTGTGCATCAGTGAGGCAATTAAAGGTCCATATGTTTCCTGTGAGCCCCTATTAGCATCCTCCGATTGGTGCTAGAGATGCAGGAAGCCACCACGTGGGAAGCTGCAATCCGCCCTGCTTCAGCGATGGGGCCAAAACTGCTGTCACCCTCCCGGGATGAAGGATGCTCTGATAAAGTAAAAGTCTCTGTGCTTTCAGTGTTTCAGTTCCCTCTTCCCAAGCAGCAGTTTCTAGGGATGCTCTGCCTCTGCCCTCATTGAAAGCCTAAGGGGAAGCAGCATGACCCAAAGCTGCTGTCTCCACCGGGGGCAGAAAACTGAGGTGTCCTCATGTCTTCCAGCAAGTGATGAGAACATCCAGGCTGTTCAAACGGGAGAGGGTTTAGCCCCTGCCTGAAGATTCCAGGTTTGATTTGCTGTTTACTCTGGGTGGATTCCAAATGAAAAGCTGCTTTCTGTAAGAGCAGAAGATGCAGGAGTATTAAACTGCAGCCATCGGCCTCTGCCCAGGCCAAACCTGGAGAGTGTTTTCTATCCCTTGGGGCCAGTTGCTAAATCTCAGCTGCGTCACTTTTTTGTTGTGTCTCTGCCTTGATGCAGAAACCGCCTTACAGGAAAGTTGTTATTCTTAAAATAAGCCTCAAGGAGCTGAAAGAGGCCCATGTCTTTAAATGTCTTTGATCAAATGACCTTGTATTTCACCCTGGTTGTCAGACTAGGACCATTTTGTGTGTTGGTCTTACCATGCTTCAAAAACTGGTATTAGTACCTGGACCCTGTTACCATTTCTACTAGAGCCAGCATCACTTCTCTGTAACAGAGAACTATGCATCCATCACCTCTCCCAACAGCTTAACACCCTCTGAGATGGGTCTGCACCAAGGGGCATGCTGGAAATGGGGTCCGAAATAGAGTCAAATGCATGGCTGGTGGGGGACAGCGAGGGTGGAGGGATCCAGGAACACGAGCAGAAGGCAGTTTTTCAGCAGTTCTTTGACTGGAGGAGGCAGGAGAGCATTTTGCAAGCAGGAAAGCTTGATGGTGTTTTTCTGTAGAGCTTTTCTCATTGGAATCTCAAGATAATTTTGAAAGAAGGGAGATGAAAACTGGCCTCTCCTCTTTCTCTTTCCCCCCAAAGGGAAAAATAGCTCCTTCTGAGCGCTTCTCTTGCTTCCAGCAGCCCTGAGTGCATGTGTTTCCCAGGCTGTTTCTCTGCTCTTCCTCATTCCTGACCGCCTTGGCAGCGAGCTGAAGGAGAAGTTTGTTTAACTCGTTTCGGTGCAGAAACCACCTGCCAGCCCCCAGGCTCTTTGTGCTGCATAGGAAATGAGCAGCGGCAGAAAGTCGCGACCAAGAGTAATCACCGGGAGCCGTGCGGATGAATGCTTAAAGCCAAGCTTCTGCTGTGGCATTGGTGATCCCCCTGGCTTAGAATGGACTTTGTGGTGTTTAAAGCTTTGCAGTGATGTTTTTAGCTACCTGTGCTGTGTCTTTTAATACTGTATTTCACATCGTTGGTCCAGCCTTCAACGCTCATCTGCTGTAGGCACAATGCATGCCCTGTGCCACCCTCACCAGCCCTGCATGGCTGACCACACATATATTTGAGCTACTGTTGCTACTGGAGCATCTTCTTCATCTCTGAGTGGCTACCAAGAAGTGGTACTCTAGCTATGATACGAAGTAGTGAAGACAAGGACTGGCTGTGGAGAGCTGCAAAAGGACCTCATGAGACAGTGAGACTGGGGAATGAGAAGGTAATTGGAATTCAGTAGGCTTGAGGTGGTGCAAATAGGAGAAAATAACCCCAAACTTTGCACAAACACAACAGAGTTGGCCCAGTGTCTCTAAGGAATGAAACCCTGGGGCTATAATGAGTAGTCCAGTTGATGCAGTGGTGGTTAAAGAATAATTTGGGCACTTAATGATGGGAAAATAGTAGAGAATAAAACAGTGAATGTTGTTATGCAGCTTGCTTGAGGCATGACAGAGATTTGTGCAATCCTAGAGGTCATGGAGAAGATGGATGGTGATTGAGTGTTCATTGACACTGCAGGTGTGAAGTTGCATCAAATGAAATGGCAGCTTCCAAGCAGAAGGCAGCAGTTCCTTCATGCAGCCTGCAGTTGCACCTCGGGGCTCTGTGCTGCTGGGATGAAAGGGGTGCAAAGCATTTGTGTGGAATAAAGAAAGGACTGGAAAACTCAGTGGAAGAAACATCCCAAGAGATGTTAAATGCAAAGAGCCTGCCTCTTAGAAACTCTACATAGGCTGTTGGAGGGGTGGGGAGGTGTCATGGCCAGTGCATGTGCCCTGGGTTGTGCCCTGCTCCTTGGGTGGTCACTGTTGGTGACCGTGGTCTGACTTGGTACCGCTGCTTGCATCTTATGTGGCAATGGCTCAAAATCCCCTTTGCGTTCACAGGACTCCGTGCGCGGCCCCTGCTCTACCCTCACGGCTGCGGAATAGCAGGAGGAGGTGTCTGCCTGTGGACCTGATGTCTGCAGGCAGCGCAGGCGGCAGCTCCCGCCCGCTCAGCGCCTGGAAACCAGCTGCTCCTTCTCCACTTTGGTCACTTCAATTTGTCAGTTTTGGCTTCGGACTCTGCAGAGCCCCAAAGGATGTTTCCTGGCAGCACCGCCAGGCTCCGGGCATCCCCGCCAGCCCTGCTCCTTACCACTGCTCTTGGTTCTCTTCCAGGCTGCCCATCGGGGACGTTTAAGGCCAGCCAAGGCGATGAAGGATGCGTCCATTGCCCCATTAACAGCCGGACAACTTCAGAGGGGGCCACGAACTGCGTGTGCCGAAATGGATATTACCGGGCAGATGCCGATCCTATCGACATGCCGTGCACCAGTATGTGAGCTCTAGGCAACCTGGGGAGGGGGGATGCACATAGCTGGGAAAGGAGATGCTCACCAGCCAAAGGCATCTGCCTCAGTGGGATTTTGGAGGAGCTGCAGGGGCTCAGATCACCTTGTCCAGAGGAGCCTCACAAACACGGGTCTTTCTTCCCTCGGGACAGTCTGTGCTTGCAAACATCCCGTGCGCAGAGAGGATGGAAATTTGGGTTGTTTTGTGCTGTTCTAGGAAGTGGGATGACTTCACTGTAGGGCTGTACTCTGACCTGCACCTTGGCATGAAGGACATGAGTGTGCAAAGGCCAGAAATCAGGAATGCTGTAAAAAATAACTGGTGAATTTTGCCAGGGATGCTATATAACCACATCAGCCTGGGTTAGGAGGACAGGTTTTGGTCCCACTTTTGCCTTTGGGTATCCAGTTTGCTGCACATCCCTGACACCAAGAGAAGCATCTTGCTCAGTGCATGCCCACTCCAGAGTCCTGTCCAGGGGATGGGGAAGAGGAGAGGGTGCAGATGGTCCTATAGTGATGAGCAGCGCTCTGGCTCTTACACCTTTCTGTCTGTTCCCTTTACAGCTATCCCATCTGCCCCCCAGGCCGTCATCTCCAGTGTGAACGAGACATCTCTGATGCTGGAGTGGACCCCACCACGAGACTCGGGGGGCCGGGAGGACCTGGTCTACAACATCATCTGCAAGAGCTGCGGCTCTGGCCGTGGGGCATGCACGCGCTGTGGGGACAACGTGCAGTTCGCCCCACGCCAGCTGGGCCTCACGGAGCCCCGCATCTACATCAGTGACCTGCTGGCCCATACCCAGTACACCTTCGAGATCCAGGCAGTGAATGGCGTCACCGACCAGAGCCCCTTCTCCCCGCAGTTTGCATCAGTGAACATCACCACCAACCAGGCTGGTAAGACCTGGCCCCGTGTCTCCCAGCAGAGCTCTCCAGGAAGGGGTGGTGGGCAGCATCTCCTGGTTGAGTTGAGAGGTAGTGGGTGAAACCCTGTGGGGTGAGCAGAGCTCGAAGAGGTGGGCTGAGATGGGGCACGGTGATGCTTGCTCTGCAGATTAGTGATGGCCAAACTGCATGGGCCTGGCAATTGCTGGATGAAGCCTGAGCCTGAGGTGTGAAGAACACCTCTTAGTTTCAGTGAGAAGGTGGGGTGTGTTGCAGGCACAGCTGCAGGGCTCTCTTTGCTGCAGCCCCTGCTGCTGCTCCTGTTTCTTAAGGAGGGAAGGTAACGTTAGCTCCATCATTTTGACACAAGCTGCAGTCTCTGTTCTGACTGCAAAGAAAGCCAAGGCAGGCTGTGAAAGCAAAGGAAAGCTGCACAGCAATGGAGCTAGGAGATGGATGTGCATGATGACCATCTGGAGATCTGCCCCAGGTCCTGTGCCACTGCAGGGTCACCTTGGGGAAGACCAGCAAGCAGCAGAGCTGGAAGGGTTTCATTTGGGGTCTGCAGCTCTGTGCTGGCATGGGGGTTTGCTATGCTCCCCCTGTGCAGGGTGGTTTTGCTGGGGGAAGGGATGTGTCAGGGTGGCTGCAGCAGCTCTGCTGGTAGTAGGATGCTCCAGGATGCTGCTGGTCAGAGGCTGCTCTCCACAGCCCACCTGGAAGCCATCTGGAGCTGGAGCACACACTGGGGCTTTGCTTACTCTGGATGGTGGGAGCAAGTCAATAAGGTACAAGCATGTGTGGGAGGAAAACAAGTTCCTGTGGTCTCTCTGAGCGCTGCAGCAAATGTGTGGGGTTGTGTGAACAAGTCCCAGGCTGCCCTGGGCATGACATGGCCTTTAAGACTGAATTTGGCTGTTGTGAATGATAGCATTTGCACTGAATTGCCTGGAGACCATGGTGTGTACTAGCTGCAGGGGACACAGTGTGTATGGTTTGGGGTTAAGCAGCCACGGTGGTGCAGATGGGCATCACTTGGTTGGGCATGCAGAGTGCCAAGACAGAGGTAACCTGCAAACATGTCTTGGTCACCCATGAACCATCAGAGCGACCTCTGACCTCAAGGTAGCTGAGGAGCCCCAGGGTCAGTGTTTTCAATGCCATAGCAGAAGCCCTGGAGGCAGATTTAGCATAGCATTGAACCGTGGTTTGACTGCGAGCAGGAGCACAGCCCACAGGATGAGGAGGGAGGAGATGGTCTGGGACGGTGACCTATAGCAGGTTCCTTTACAGAGATGGCAGACGGGGATGGAGTGGGTGCAATGCTACCTGGGGTGGGAAGGAGCTCTGCACACCTCCAGATGAGTTACTGAATGCTCAGGTTTTGCGTTTTGCAGTTGTGTGGTGTGCTGCTTGCCTTCATGCGCTGCCTGTGGCTACTGCCACATTAGCCAAAGCAGAGAGCTGAGCTGCATGTGAATCCTCCTCAGTCCCCTGGATCCTCCTGCTTGTGTTTTCCTTGTTTGACACTCCTTTATTACCAGGGCTCACACTTCTCAGCCTGTGTGATGTCTCTCTTAATGTATCTATTCATTAGCACTAAACAGTAACTGTCTGCTCGCTAATTCCTCTGTAATTAGAGGATCTGAATTCTTCTGCTTACACTCAGCACTGCCTGGCAGCCTTGATGTAGATCATTAGCAGTTGGTAAGAGAAGCTGCAGACACAAAAGCAGGGCTGGGACAGGAGAATGAAGGGTGTTGTGGGGAGAGGAAAGCTGCAGAGGGAGGGAAGGGATGGGCCTGGGGAAGAGGCATTACAGCCTCTCTCTGCCTTTGCTTTGGGTTGAGTAGCCAGCTGGAGCTCCATCTCAGGAAGAGATGGACTTAATGCATGATGGGATGTCGTGGTTTAAAGCAAAGCCAAATTGCTGAGGTTCACCCAGGGATAAATGCATCACTGTTGGGCCACCACTCGTGCTCCGTGAGTTCGGGACTGAGGAGAGATGTCACATCACCAGCATCAGCACCTCCAGGTATCACAAATTCTTCAGCATATCAGGGAAAAGCTGCTGTGAGAGAGTAAGAAATGCAAAGTAAGAGAACAGAGCAGCCAGCAGGCATCTGCTGAGCGTGGCTGGAGGTGTGATGGTGACTGTCATCCCAAAAGGAGCACTGAGGATCAGGAAGGTGAGGCACCATTCACCTTGTTCTTCCAGAGAGAGATGGCTGTGGTCAGTACTGCTGCACCCCTCTCCAACAAGGTCTGGATTTCACTGACATTGGCCTTTACATCAACTTAACTTATTTAGCTGTGTGGTGTTGCATTAGGACGTTTCTCCTCATGTAGACACAGGTGGTGGGTGGCTTCTATCAATGGATATTAAGGCATAATTAGACCAAGCTGAATCATCCTTTCTTCCTATGAGGTGGCTTTCCAGAACGTGGATCTTTGTGGAAACTTCTTTATTCCTCATCCTAATTTTTTGAATTAGATGTTGTACTCCATAGCAGCTCTGCTGCAGGCAAACTACTGCCCTTGCTGGTCTCACTGTTCCCTTCACACATCCAAGCGTAAAGGGCTGCTTCACTTAGCCATGCAGGCAGGCCTTTACCTCCCTGGGGGCTTCTGTCTTGTTGCTTCCCTCTGTGCAGTCTCCCATTCTGGAAGCAAGACCTACGTTTTGGTTTCCAAACCCAAGCACAACCTTGTAATTGTTCTCATGAGCTCAGCCATCATTGCTCTGCACAGAAGTTTTCATTCCCAATTTTGCCTTTTTGGACACTTTATGGTGTCCAAACAGCCCTGGTTTTATATCATCTCCCAGGTCTCTAATAATTTTGCTGGCCACAGTGAGTCCCCATTGAGTGCCAGCCTTGGTTAAAACTAATTTCATGTGGTGCAGATGATGCTGAGCCACGAAGTCATGCTGCCGTGCCTGATTCGGGGCATGGGATCCCATCAGGTTTTGTGGAAGGGTCATCTTGGGTCTTTGCTTCACCCTCCTGTTTGCAGTGGGACTATCAGCAGCAGTAGATCTGCTGTAGCTTTTCCTAGCTGGGTTTTGGAAACCTTCACCGCTCTAACTTCTCTCAGGACTCAAGTCACCCTCCTGGGAAAGACTTGGCTTCGTTTCCAGCCTGATTTGTGGCTTGTGCCCCTTGTTGCATCACCTACCCCTGCTGGGAACAGTGAGCCTCCACCCTCTTTTAGTGGAGCTCTAAGCAGTTGTAGCTGTGATTAAATTCACCCTTAATGCCTTCATTATCTGGCCAGCTCATAAGCCCTGTGCCCCAGACTGCCTTGGTCACCCTTGGCTGGATCCCCTCAAGTTCCTTCTCAACCCATGTCCTCGTGTTCTGCATTGCCCAAGTTGATGCTGGCCTTAGACTATCCACGTTTGCCCTTTGCAGTTCACTGTAATGTCATCATTTCAGTCCCACCAACAGAACAGTGAGCAGCCCAGGTACCATGGTGCAGAGAGGAGCCCTGAGGGACAGGCCAGCTCTCTTCTTAGGAGAAGGTTGGTCAAAAGAGAGCAGCCAGCACCAGCCTGTGCTTGGAGGCAGGTTTCCTGGACCTTTCTCTTGCAGTGAGTGTCTTATAAAGACCAAAGGTGTTTAACATCCCAAGGGCAGGTTTTTGTTAGAACAGGAGGTGTGATGCTTCCTTTCTTACAAGATAGAAGATCAGAAAAGACCAGGATCAGCAGAATAGGAATAAAAAGAGCTTGGAATAAGCATCCTCTTCCCACCACCTCTTTGCCCACCGCTTGGTCTTCAACCAACTGGAGTTTACTCCTTTCAGCAAACTCTGCATGGTCTCCACTACCTTCCTATGAAATACCTTCTGTCACCTCTGAGGCTAGGTTGTGTTTTCTCTCTGCTCTTCTCAGCAGGCATCTTCTTGACCTCCAGCTCCATGCTGTACACCTCCCAGCTCACCCTCTACTTGCCTGCTTGTTGCATCCTGCAGCCGAGTGCCTTCTTTTGCCTAAAGCTCAGCATCTCTCCAAGGAGGGAGATCCAGGACTTGCCATCTGACACAGCCAGTTGTAAGGGACCATGATGTGGCTAAAGAAAACAAGCCACACCATTCAGTGGCCCATTGCTCAGAGATCGGGTGCTGCTAAAAAGCCTTTTCTCAGCCATCCCAGAACAAAAGATCTATGCCAAGAGGGTGGTTGAGAGCCATGCCAGCATCCCAAGAGGGAAGGCATAGGAGAGAAGCCAGGGGTTAAGGAGCTGAACATGGCCCAGCACTCAGGATAATGACACTTGACTAATTGAAAGCCATGCCAAGTTTCAACCCTCTTGCTGGTGACAACACACAGCCCCTGCTTGCTAATTTTTGGCCATTCTTTGAGGAAGGTGGAGGGGGGAGAATCTCGGTGCTGTGAGGATTTGCAGGCCCCATCCACACTGTGGCTGGCTGAGTGCCCTGGGAAAGTCACCAAGAGAAAGGGCTCCTTGGGCTGGGGTGACATAAATAGCACATGGGTAGGGTGCCTGTTGATACCAGACTGTGGCTTTTGTGATCTGAGAAAGGGAGGAAAGAGCCCTGGGCTCTGGAATATCCAGAGAGAAATTTAAGACCTCCCAGTGATGGAGGAAAGAACATCCAGGTTTTGCCTTTTGGGAGCGACTCTTGTGTCACATGGGATTAGAAGGGAGGATTTACTCTGGTGGCTGAGGCTCTTGGCTGCAAGCAGAGCCAAAAAGAGCCATAAACACCTAATAGAGTGTGAATACAAGCTGGTGTGTGACAGAGGAAACCGATACACTTCCCTGATAAACCCACCAGGAGCAGCATCCGCAGTGGCAGAGGTTAACTGGCGCTTCTCCCGTTCTGTGCATCCAGATAACTTAGGATTTTTTTCATTATTATTCCTGGTGTTATTTCACAGCAGTATGTCATGAAATGGGTCCTTTGGCTGGGGAGATGTGCAGCTCACACATGTGCATCGTGTTTGTGCCGGTAGGGTTTGAGTTTCTGTGTCATCCCAACCAGGG